CCCTTGATCTACAATTTTTCCAGTGAGAAGTTTAACGAGTCTTTTTCCAAATCCCTGAGAAAATTCCGGTTCTTCAAGTGAATGTGCAGGATTCAAGGCCCATGCTAGCTCTTCCAGGGGGACCGGTCAGAGGTGCTGTAAATTGTGAAGGCCAGATCTTGGTAGAGCCAGGACAGAGTCAGGAGACGGCAAACATGGCTCTGATGGTGCATCTCCCCTGCGAAGACAGGGTATGGTTGCCAGTCATGTAGTTACATCCAAGGTAGGATGAGCACTAGAGAAGTGAAGCTTTAGCAGTGCACCAGGGTATGCCTGCAAGACCGCCTGCAACCCTAATTGCTGAGAGGGGCGGGCCATGCTGAAGTGCACGATGCTTCGGCTTCCTTGCTCCAGTGCTCAAGCTAGCTAAATTAAAGCTAGCTCAAGTACGCCTACATGACCTGCTCTCCTACCCCGTGATTGCACTGTAGATCTACCCAGAGACCCAGGGCTGCTGAGTGCCAGTTCATCCCCTGGCATAACGTAGAGCAACCACAGGACTGCTCCATTTGCCAATTGTAATGGTCCCTCAAGGGTCATTCTTGCAACCAGGAGATCACTGGAGTGCTCTTGCCATATGCTTCTGCAGTCCCACACCGCCCTACTGACAGCTGTAAAGGGAAATCCTTGGGCAGACGGATCTGCCAACTTGACTTTCCCTGGGTGCTTCTGGAATGGCACAGCACAGCTAGGGTAGGGTTGCTGATCTGGACTGAAGTATGTAAACCAAAAAAGTTTCTCACTGCCAGCGAACCTCAAGAAAACTCCCATTTCTGCAGAGGAGCAAAGCACGCTGAGCCTCTGTCTCCCCTGCAAATCATGAGGCAGCTTCTGACCAGGAGGAAAAAAATGTCCGACGGTGACAAGCAACGCGAGGTGCAGGACTGAGGGCGTGTGAACCCAGCACCAAAGGCTACAGGAAAGAGAACCTTTCTCCGGATAATAATAGAGATGGAGCCGTGTTAGTCCGGTCTTGCTGAAACAAAATACAGGACTATGCAGCACTTTAGAGACTAACAAGATGGTTCATTAGATGATGAGCTTTTGTGGGCCAGACCCACTTCCTCAGATCAAATTGTGGAAGAATATTGGCACGACCATATATACCAAAGGGATACAAACAAACAAAAAAAGTGAACACATATAAAATAGATAAATCAGATTTTAGAACAGAGGGATAATGGGGGAGGGAGGTTAATGTCTATGAGGTAATGATATTAGTGGTGATAATTGGGGAAGCTATCTTTGTAATGGGTGAGATAATTAGGATCTTTGTTAAGCCTCATTCGTAAAAGTCAAATTTAGCATGAATGACAGTTCAGAGGCTTCTCTTTGAAGTCTTGTGTTAAAGCCTCTTTGAAGCAGGATGCAGGTAGTAATGTCGTTGAGACAATGCCCAGGCTGGTTGAAATGGCAAGAAACTGTTTTTTCTTTGTGAAACTGTCTGATGTCTGTTTTGTGGGCATTAATTCTTTGGCGAAGTGTCTGAGAAGTTTGTCCAATATACATAGCAGACGGACACTATTGGCACATGATGGCATACAGACTTCGGCTTGTGGTTCATTAAGCAAACTGTTCAAGAAATTCAGTGACCTCACTTAGCCAAATTTATCGTCTAAAGACAAAATAGGACAATACAAAAAGGTGACCCCCGGGGCTTCCTTCCAGGGATCAATGTTTATCTTGCAGAACGTTCACTTTACTGTCCGTCCCTGGTCTAGTGCTTAGGCTAGAAAGCGAAAATTCTGCAGATCTGGGATAAACTCCGAGCAGGACTTCCTGCAGCTCTGTCTTGACACCACAAACCAACCGCTGCTAAGTTAGAGACACAGCTGGTGAGGAAATGAGAGCTGTTTCCTTGGAAAATTATGACTCTTCATAGAAAACACTCATCCAAGACGTTCTGACAAAACCTCAACGTTTTTGGCAAAAAGCAAATACTCTTTGCAAAAAAAAATGGATTTTGCCAACCCTCCTATTTCTCTTCAAAAAACAGCTTCCGTGGAAAAACTTCAACCAGCACCTGTTAGAATGAGAGAGGCGGAGTTTCTTATCAAATCACACCCACTCAATAACAAACAGCGACCAACCAGGCAGAAGGCGTTCGCTTTCTGACGCCTTCCTTGCATTTCCAGGGGTTGCATGTGTGAGGAAGGCCATCTTGTGAACAACTGAGGAATAACATGCACAACACAAGAATATCTTTAACACTGAGTAGGCTCCTAAGGATTCTTTTTGTGTTTTGTTGGGGCTCTGTCAGCTCTGTTCCTATACACAGGAGCCATCCTAAAGTGCAAAAGACCCTCTTGCTTGTGTTTTCTTTGTCTAGAACTATGGTCCGTTACCTAGATGTGGATTTTTGGGGGCCTCCTGTTTATGAGATGAGTTATAACCAAGTCCTGGACTAAAATGCCAAGGTTAAATGCCAGCGAGGAGAGGAGAGTGGGTGGGGCCAGCTTTCAGGTTTATTATTACGATATTAACAGGCAGCCACCTTGAACTGTAATGAAATGCTCTGTCCCAGCTCACATCACAGGGTTGGCAACTCAGTCCCAACAGTGGCAGGGGCGTAGCTCTGAGTGGGCCATAGCCCACCTGCTTGGGATCCAGGCCCACCCAAATCAGGGCCGGCACTCCCCAAATCCACAGGCAGGGACTCCTGACCCCGGCTGGGTGTCCGTCAGCCTGGTCGCATTGCTCCCCTGCTGGCACCCCGTACTCTGCCCTGGTCTCCAGCCCCAGTGTTAGCCCTGTCGGGGATGTACTTCATGGGGCAGGGTTGGCACTGGGGCCAGCAGGAGAGTGATGGGGCAGGGCTGGCAGGCACTAGCCTGGCTCTGGGAAGGGTGGGAAGAGCTCAAGCCCCGGTAGGGTCCCCCTCTGCCTCATGAGTGTGGCCTGCAGCCTGTGTGCCCTGAGAGTCTGCTGAGAAATAAGGGGGGGCAGGTCCCCCATGACTCCTGTCCCCTCGCCACAGGGCACTGGATCCCTCCTGCACACCAGCTCCTTCCAGCCCACCTCCCCAGAGCCCCCCATCCCCCTCACTCCTTCACTGCCCGCCCATCTGAAAGCTGGCCCCACCCACTCGTCCTCTCCTCGCTACACCACCGTGGTCATGACATGTAGGGCTGGGAGGACCTTGCAGACATGTAGGGCTGGGAGGACCTTGCAAGTTCACCACCTCCAGCTCCCTCGGGCGAGGCTGGACCAAAGAGCACTCCAGCCTCACTCAGAGTGAACAAAGGCCATGCTGCCTGAGACCTGGTCTGTGAGCTACAGCAGAGGTGCTGGTGCCCTCCCTTCCCATCCCTAATGGCCATGCAGTTGTGCTACAAACCCCACAGCCTGGCCTGGGACCTTCTGCAACAAAGCAAAGGATGGAACGGGCAGGACGAGCTGCCCCAACGAAAGAGGAGGCCCTTCAAGATCGGCTTGAAGGCCATTGGCAGACAGGGGTGAAGGAATCTTGTGCTATTTCTGTCTGCAGTTCACCTGCCCTCAGCATAACAAGAGGTCCCTAAATCACATGACTGTGATCTAAGCCCTGTTATGTCGCTGATACTGCTGACATGCAAAGCGGGGAACCCAAGCAGCAGAGGAAAACCCAAGAACAATGGCTGCTGGATTTGCCCCGGGAAAGTTATTTGTCTCAAAAGAATCCAGCATTGACACGTATTTCTAAACTCAGCCGAGCAGGGTAAACAAAGCAAAGTCCCAACAGCCACTTAATGCAACTCTCAAGAAACGAGACGGTCCCAGTTTACATTCTGCAGCCAAGAAACCCTGTTTCCGAGCGAGACTGTGCAAATCGGACAGGGAGAGGAGGGGTCTTCAAGTGAGTGCAAAACGTACAGGCTGGAAGGTATGTTCTGGGAAGGAACAGTAGCGTCAGAAGAGACTCAGGCCTGGAGGAGGAGCAACACCACGTTTTTAAGAAGGATATTGGCTCCAAGAGCAAGATTCCTCTTTATTCTAATGCTCTTTATTAAAAAGAAAAAGAAAAAAAAAGACTCCAGAATTAACCCATCAGATTTCACAAAAGTCAAGGAAGATGCCACTTCTCCTCCAGCCCAACAGAATAAACTAAACGTGGCATCTCCTGGCCAGGTTATTTTGGGAGGGCGCCACATGGCGAAGTGGGTTCCAGCCCATGAAAGCATATACCCAAAGAAATCTGTTAGTCTTTAAGGTGCCAGAGGGCTCCTTGTGGTTTTAACTTTAACCAAAGTTTTTTGTTTGGGAATTTCCTTAGTTTTTTTGTTTGTGTTTTTGAGAGAGCTTTTTGCGGATGGGTGAAAATGGGACATGGTTACTGCCTTTGGCAACACTGAGTGCGTTTGAAAGGCCTCAAAAGTCTCTGAAAAATTGATCCACGTGTGCTGCTTATAAACTTCGCAGAATGTCCTGGGGTGCCTGGTGTCAGGGTTTGCCTATCCAAAATCTCTGCCTTTGGACCTTTACATGATGATGCAAGATCATAGAACCATAGAGTTGGAAGAGACCTCAGAAGGTCATCAAGTCCAGCCCCCTGCCCAAGGCAGGACCAATCCCAACTAAATCATCCCAGCCAGGGCTTTGTCAAGCCGAGACTTAAATACCTCTAGGGATGGAGACTCCACTACTTCCCTAGGTAACCCATTCCAGTGCTTCCCCACCCTCCTAGGGAAATAGTTTTTCCCAATATCCAACCTGGACCTCTCCCACTGCAACTTGAGACCATTGCTCCTTGTTCTGTCATCGATCACTACTGAGAACAGCCTTTCTCCATCCACTTTGGAACCTCCCTTAAGGAGGATGCATTGACTTTGTTCAGCAATTAACTGTGGCTGTGTTACTCCTGTTATTAAGTGTCTGTGAAGACAAGAGGCATTATAGAAGTGGGTGTAGCAGTAATAATAAGCACTGCAGGAACCTAGCTAATGTTCATGAACTTTACAAGAGTCTCTAATGGGCTTGTAAACTCTGTGGGAGCGCCTATGGATTCTTGTAAAGACTTTAAGAAGCCTTTTCATGTTTAAATCCAAGCAATATATTCTGCTGCTTTGTATGTGCACTTGATTAAGTCTACACACTGTGGCTGTGGGCATCCTAAATGTTAGCACAGGGGCTGCAGAGTTTACAAGTTGCCAGATTAAAAAAAAAGACTCCAGAATTAACCCCCCCGACGTCACAAAAATAATGGAAGGTGCCACTTCTCAATCCAGGACAATGGAATAAACCAGATGTGGCATCTCCCGGACACGTTATTTTGGGGAACACCCCATGGTGCGCACATACAAGTAAAGAAATAAGTTAGGGAATTGTCCAGGAAGTGAAATCTCCCTGTGTTTTGAATGATTGTATCTCACTGGGGCCTTGCAAGATCACCTCAAACCTTTCCTCAAATGCTCTGCTCCCAGCCTACACAGCAGGCTGTTCACACCGATTGGGTAACACCTAACAAAAGCAGGGAACAGAG